TAAATAAAAGGAGAAGGAATACGTTTCCTCCGAAACAAAAAAAAAGTTCACATAAAGCAAAACAAAATACGTACAACAACACGTATAGTGGGAGTTCCAGAAAGGGGTTGCCCAGAAAAATTGAGGAAGAGAAAAAAAAAATATGTTCCTCATGAAAAAGAAAGAAAAAGCTGCACGTAAAAAAAAAAAAAAAAACAGTTAGAAGAGAAAATGACTGCAGAGAAATATATATACTTTTGAGAAAAGTGAATGATAATTTTAAGTGACCTTTTCATTCATTCATCTCATGTATTAAGAAATCTATTAGAACACCTATTTATTTAAGTTTATGTTGATCCGGAGATACATTAAGAAAGGACTGTAGTGTTTTTGGAATTTAAAGCTCAAAATAGTGTTGGAGGAGTTAAAAATTAACGTCCTAATCAAGCGACGGTAAAATTTTTTTTCTTCTCTTTAATACTTTGTAGTTAAATTAATATAAAATAATGATCACATTAAATTTTTAATTTGTGTGATTCGATCAAACAGTGGATGGACGATTTTGAGGCTTTTCAATCAGCAGTAAATTCAGACGAATCTTAAACGTCGACTTTAACTCTAGAGCCTCACCCTCGTACTAGATGAGTTCTATAAGAATCTACGTTCAGTTGGTGTTTCAGGTGTTGGAATGGATGACTTCTTTAAGGCGATCGAAGCAAGTGCTGAGGAGTACCTGGAAAATTACAAGTAAATCCATGAAATATCTCGCACATTTCTCTGTAGATGATTAAATGCCATGGCAAACTTGATGATTAAATAATTGTTTCCAAATTTGTTTGGGTTGTTTCTACAGGGTTGACATCGATAAGAGATGAGAAGAGAAGCTGCGGTTGGAGGAAGAATGCAGGAAGGAGAACATGGATAGATTGAGGAAGGATATGGAGAAATCAAGGGGGGAAACTGTGTGTGTTTGGAACCGTTTTTGAAAACGGTTCACGTATTTAGAGAAATAAAAAAAAATGAAAACAAAACGACGTTTGTTTAGTAAATGTTTTGAAAATAAAAATGGAAATGAAAACAGTGAGAATGATTTTTGTTAAGAAATCAAAAAACAGTTGAAAGTTATTTTCACTTTTCTTTTTTATTTTTAATGGTACTTATCAATAATATTATAATATATTAATTAATAATTATAATCAAATACGATTTCACTTTTTTATTATACTCAAAATAATCTCTTAAAAAATTAACTAAACACAATTTTAGAATTAGTCTCAAAATGATTATCAAAACAATTTTATTTTTACTTTTTTGTTAAAAATAAAATTATTTTGAAACTAATTCTATACGCACCGGTTTTGACCACTGGGTCGGTGGACAAAGCATAAAAGAGCAAAGCTAAAAGGGACGAGGATGAGGGAGGTGACGATTTTGAGACACTCAGTGAAAACGAGGATGAAGACGAAGAGGTTGCAAGTTTCTCCTTTCAGTGAAGAAGCTTGTTTTGGTTGGAGGTTGGAATTGTGTAGAACAAGACTCTGCATAAGACTAATTAACAGGTTTAAAGCTATAGAAGATTGTGTTACTCAATTTTGCCAGGCTTCACACTTTCCCTGTTTGTGTCTACATCCTTGATCTTTTGAGATACAAACGCGTCTTGAAGTTGACTTCTCATTTGCTAAGTTAAATGGACATTTTTTTTCTTGCATTTATACCCTTTTTAAGTTCATTCAGGTGCACCACTTGATACATGGAGGTTACTCTCAAAAGTCATAAGATGTTTTTGATGCGTTTAAATTGTTGCCTAGAGGATTCTCGACATGCAGTATGGAGTTTTTTGAAGTGCTCTCTCTCTCTCTCTCTCTCTCTCTCTCTCTATATATATATATATATATTGTGCTGGACCTGTTGAATGATGGGATATTTCACTTCCTAGGGTGGGAATGAATGGCCAATCAATGAGCTACACGCATTGAAATTTAAGAGGCTTTACTACTCTTTGAATCCTGTCTTCTCAAAAGTTTATCACCCAGCATTAAGTAAGAAGGATGTATAATTGTACATTTTTTTTTATTATATATAAAACTACTAGTTATCACAATCATCACATTAATATGTAAAATCGTAATTTGATCGATAATAATATATATAACATTGCTCTATTATTTTTTTAATTGATTTTTGGTAGAATTTATTGCTTCATTACTAGCAGTAACTATATGACAATGGGTCAAAATTCGAATGAAGTTGAAGGATCTATTTTTTTATTGTCGGACGGAAATATGAAGCAAATTATAATATATTTTTCTACTTTGTGGATGGATTGGAAAAAAATTTGTGGAATTGAAGCGAAATAGGTTTTATAAATTTTCCATAAAAACAAGATTTTTAACTCAATGCTATAAATATATATATATATATAATGATTCGTTGAAATATATAAAGCTCTATTCGTTTCACTGGTTCAAGTTTAAAATTTGAATTTTATTATAGTAAAAAGTTCTCATAAATAGTCATATCTAATTTTTTTTTTACTACAGTAAAAATTTTTCATATAAAATCATATCTCAACTCGAATTAAAAACTTACGAACTAAACATGCCCTAAAATACGTATGGATAATAAAATTCTAGATCGTTCCAATTACTTCAGCTCTAACACCATCTCTACCTTCCTTGCTACATGGTCTCGCTCCATAAACAAAAATGTGTGCGGGCAAACTTTATAGGTTCAGATCTTATCAACAACCAAAAGGACCAAATTTTACTTCCTCCTTAATCAAACCATTGATGGGTGTCCTGCCATTGAGAAGAGAGTCTGGAATTCTTCTCTTGAATGACAAGTAGTGTAAGAAGCATTTTGAGCACCAACAAGCTCTTTTTAAGCTTGCTCTTAATCAAAGCATTTTAAATGACTAGTAGTGTAAAAAATAATAATCATAATTTAATTTCCATTACAAAGAAAATTTTTTAAGTTTGTTTTTCTGGGATTTAAAAAGTCATCTTGCCAATAAGTGTTTCTCCTAAAATGACCCTGGTCAATTTTGTGTCACGAGTTATTTTTGTGTCATATCGTATCAGCTTGAAAAATTATCATGTTGTGTTTGTATTGCGGTTTTTAAAAAATTTCTTATCACGAGCCGTGTTCATATTAACTGTAAATTAAAAAAAAATGATCAAAACACGACACGAATATAATACGTTATATAAATTACCATTTCTATGTGTACCTACCTCTCTTTTTCTTCTTCTTTTGACTAGACGTTCACTTTCCAGGAATATGGACAACACCCATGTGATGACACTGCCGAAAGGTCCCCAAAATGGACAACACGCATGTGATGACCCCCCCTTTTTAATCTTCTTTTTACTCTTTCCTGGGATTCTTTTGTTTGTGTGGTAATTTAAAGACGTACACCTACGTCTCTTCTTCTTTTGACTTAGATGGTCTTCTTCTTCTTTCTACCTTCTAACAAATTGCTATGCAGTTCTACCTTTAAACAATATTCATCTTCTTTTCTTTCTTTCACAGCAGAAGAGCGAAGAAATCCTTTTTTCATTCTTTTCCTCCCAACGACATGGCTATTGTTGCGAGCCACCATGTGAATTTCACTAACGAAGCTTACCAATCGGTGACTTATGCATAGCGATTTAATAACACACCGAATCCTTTTCCTTGTCAGGGGAAAAAAAAAACATAATGAAACGTTTTGTTAGACTATATTGACTTTTGTTTTTATTAAAGTTGAATAAAACTTCAGTAATGTTGTATAGATTACTATATTGAGTTATTCTTTGTTACTTTTCTTGGATACATGTTTTTAAATAATTTTTTATTATAACAACTCGCATGCAAAGCAATAAATTTGGCATTTCGGTAAAAAAAAAAAAAATCCATGAACTTAAATTTTTTTTTATTACAATTAAAAATCACATATAATTTTTTTTATTACAATTAAAAATTCTCATATCAAAATCAAATCTTAATTTAAAAATTTTAATCCATGAACTTAAAAAGATCTAAGGCCCGTTCATTTCGCTGATTCGAGTTTAGAATTCGAGTTTTGCTACAGTAAAAAACTCTCATAAATAATCACATCTAACTTTTTTATTACAGTAAAAAACTCTCACATAAAATCACATCTCAATTCGAATTAAAAACTCAAATCAGCGAACTAAACGGACCCTAAGTGTTTTGAAAGCTTATTGTTTTTCTATTAAGAAAAAAAACTAATTAAGGACCCACCATCTATGACGTAACCCAATTTCTCTTTCTTCTATGACCCAACCCACCATCTACGTATCATTCACTGACTACTAACTTCTTTCTATCGCCCAAGACATTTCTAGGAAATTGTTTACCACTTGTCTTGAAGTTGTACTTTTCTAAACATTAATATGTGGATTTAATATGTGGATTTAAGTGAGGTGTACAATTTTTATTCACTCTATTTTTCTTTCCTTGTTTCCTCCCTTTTATTTTATTTTCAAAAATTTACAATTTCCAGTTCAGAATGCTACCTAAATGCGATAGTGTTTTTTTTTTAATAATAAAAATAATAATTTAAAGATGTACACGTACCTTTCTCTTTCTTCTTCTTCTTTTGACTTAGATGTACCTTAATTTAAACCACTTGGTCATGCAGTTCTACCTTTAAACAATATTCATCTTTCTTTCTTTCACAACACGAGCGAAGAAACCCTTTTCTCATTCTTTTCCTCCCAACGATATTGTTGCTTCTTCTTCTTCTTCTTAATTTATTTATTTATTTATTTCCTTACTTTAATTATTTTTTATTTTTTACCTTTTTTTGGCTTGCTCTAAAACTAAACTTTATTTATTTATTTATTTCATTTTAATTTCTTTTTGAGATTTTATATTCAAATGTTATATACTTTTAATAATAATAATACGATAATTAAAACTTGATACACGATTATGCTTTATGTGTAGTACGTGGAGTTCAACTAGTGTGTATATATATATATATATATATATATATATATATTTGGAAATGTATTATAGCTGGGTGGCAAGAATTCTTCCCTCTCATAGTGGAGATCGCGCAGTATTCCCTAATTTATGTTTTTGATCTTTTGAAGTTTGGGTCGTTCTTCTGTACAAGTTTGGGCTGTTCTTATGATTTAGGTTTCCAATTGCGGTTTTCATTTCTCTGTAAGAGTTTGGGTTTTGATAGAAGATACCAAGGTATGCCCTGATTTTTTCGGCTTGTTTCTCCTCGAATCACGGCATTCTTCTCTATTTTTTTCGATTCTTTTGGTTTCATAAAATCTGTGGTGATGATTTGTGTTTTTCTTTGAAATTTCATAGTTGTACAAGAAAACCCACAATCTGTAGGTCATAAAATTTAGTTTTCCTCTACGGAACATAATAATATTTTGCTTGCTTTTTTCACTCACAAATTATTCTTTCAGAGGAAATCATGGTTGTTTTTTTCTACTTTTTTTCGTCCTTTATTTATTTATTTATTTTTACATTTCTAATAATCATGTCGTTTTTGGTAGATTTGGAATTTCTTTGGTGATATCCTCAAAGGCACGAAGGTAAGCTCTGTTTCTTTGCGTTTTTTTTTTTTTTTTTTTTTTTTTTTTTTTTTTTTTTTTTTTTTTCTTCAACCATGTATTGATAATTTTTATTTTTCCAAATTTCTTATTGTTTGTATTCTTGTCTTCTTTAGAATTGTTCTTTAATTTCGATTTATGCATTAAGTGATTTATCTTTTTTTTTTTTTTTTTGCTCTGGTATTAAGTGATTTATCTACTTGATCCACATTATTTGTTATTTTATTTTAAAATTCTGTTCGAATAAATTTTACTTCTTAGTTATAAATGTGAAAATTAATTTAGCATTATGTTAACTGTGAAGTCGATCAGAATTTACTTTTTGTTTGTATTAGTCATTGTAGTTATAGAAGTCTTAGTGTTGACCTTTCTATATTTAGACTTATTGAGAAGTATATGTAAAGTGCTCAGAATCTCGAGAAATTTATTTATTTATTCACTTTAATAATTTTTTTTTACCCTGTTTTTTTTTGGCTTGCCCTAAAACTAAACTTTGTTTATTTATTTATTTATTGCATTTTAGTTTTTTTAAAATTTTATATTCAGATGTTATATAATAATATGATAATTAAAACTTAATACACATTATTCTCTATGTGTAGTAAGTGGAGTTCACTTAGTGTGTGTGTGTGTGTGTGTGTATATATATAAATATATTTGGAAATACGAGTCATTGTGGTATGAGTTGTACTAATTGTCCCAATAGGATGAAAAGCATTAACTATTAGAGTTCCCCTACTAAAATAATCACATTGAGGTGTAGACGGAGGAAAATGGACAACACCCAAAAATAGAAAGGGCAAGAGGGGAGATTTTTTTTTTTTTTTTTTTTTTTTTTTTTATTTTTTTCATTACAGTAACAAATGAAAAAATAAAAAATAAAAAATACTACTAATAATAAATATAATAATTTAAAGACGTGCACCTACCTCTCTTCTTCTTCTTCTTTTGACTTAGACGTGCACTTTGCAGGAAAATGGACAACACCCATCATGTGATGACACTGCCGAAAGGTCCCCAAAATTTAATCTTCTTTTTGCTCTTTCCTGGGATTCTTTTGTTTGTGTGGTAATTACGTACACCTACCTCTCTTCTTCTTCTTCTTCTTTCTACCTTCCAAGAAATTGCTGTGCGGTTCTACCTTTAAATAATATTCATCTTTCTTTCTTTCTTTCGCAGCAAAAGAGCGAAGAAATCCTTTTCTCATTCTTTTCCTCCCAACGATATGGCTATTGTTGCTTCTTCTTCTTCTGCTGTGATCAATAATGAAGTCTTCATCAGTTTCAGAGGGGACACTCGTAAAAACTTTACTAGTCATCTTTACTCTGTCTTATGCCGGAAAGGCATTCAGACCTACAGAGATGATCCGAATCTCGAGAGAGGAGATGAAATTTCACCTGCACTTTCGAGAGCAATTGAGGAATCAATGATTTCAATAGTCGTCTTCTCGAAAGAGTATGCTTCTTCTAGATGGTGCTTGGATGAGCTCGTGCACATTCTCAAATGCAAGAATGAAAGAGCTCAGATTGTTTTACCCGTCTTTTACAACATCGATCCGTCGGATATTAGGAAACAGCAGGGGAGTTATGCTATTGCCTTTGCTGCACACGAAGAACGTTTTGAGCTGAAAAAAGTGGAGGAATGGAGAAATGCTTTGACTGCTGCAGCTGATCTATCTGGCTTTCATTTACAAGATCAGTAAGTATGATATTTTATATAAATCTTCGAAATAATATTTGAAAATAGAAAATGACAACACAAGTAAGAATTAATTTTTACTTTCCTCAATTTGTAATTTTTTTAATTTTAAAATTAAAATAGGTAAATAGTCTTAGCAAAATCTAATTAGGTGAATTTGCTACTTTTCAGTTTTTGAAACAAATAACAAAAACAAAAGTGCCAGCAAAGCTGTAGTGCTAAAAGTAACAAATTTTGATTTAAAATGCATAGCTAAACAAAACAATAATACAATCTGAAAATTACAATCCGTAATATGAAGGATACATCTGATTTCTCAAAAAAGAATAAAAAAAGTACACATTTTATTTTGTTTTGCTTTTTTGCTAATTTCATTGTGGTTTTTTCATATTAATTCATTTCTCTTTTTTGCTAATTTCATCTGATTTCTCAAAGGGCCTTGTTGGAATAGATCAACAACTTGGGGAAATTGAATCCTTGTTATGCTTTGGATTACCAAATCCTCGTGTCATAGGCCTTTGGGGGCTTGGTGGTATCGGCAAGACTACTCTTGCCATTGAAATTTTCAATCGATTCTCTTATCGATTTGAAAATTGCTGCTTTCTTCAGGACGTTAGGGAAAATTCAGAAAAGCATGGACTGCCTTACCTAGAAATCAAACTGTTTTCAAAGCTACTGGAGGAAAGAGATCTAGAAAGTCCAGCCAACAGGTCTGTGAGAAATAGGCTCCACAATAAAACGATGCTCATTGTTCTTGATGATGTTGATAATATAAGGCAGCTGGACTGTTTGTTAGGAGATGGCAGTTGGTTTGGCCCAGGAAGTAAAGTCATCATAACGACTAGAGATGCACAACTCCTTAAAAAGTATGCCGATGAAATACACCAAGTTAAGCCATTAGATTTCGAGAAAGCACTTGAACTCTTTTATTTGAATGCCTTTAAAACAAAGCCCTCCATAACACGTTTCATTGAATTGTCAAAAGCAATAGTAACTTATACTGGAGGCAATACACCAAGTTAAGCAATAGGTTCCTCCGTTCATTCTCAAGCCGTAGAATATTGGGAACACACATGGAATAAGCTAAAAATAATTCCCCATTCAGACGTTCAAAAGGTGTTGAAAATAAGTTATGATGGGCTAGATGATAAGGAGCGGGATATTTTCCTTGATATTGCATATTTTCTTAAAGGGGAGAGAAGAGATTTTATAGAGAGCATACTAGATAATTGTGGTTTGTTTCCAAGTTTGGGGATTGAAGTTCTCATAAACAAGTCTCTCATTACCATTTTTAAGGGCAAAGTTCGGATGCATGATTTGATACAAGAGATGGGTTGGGAAATTGTTCGCCAACAATCTATTAAAGATCCTGGCGAGCGTAGCCGGTTGTGGATTCCTCACGACGTCTATAATGTTCTAAAAAACAACAGAGTGAGTATCAAATTCTAATTAAGCTACTACAGAACAACATCTCTCTCTCTCTCTCTATACGTAATTAGTTTTAGTAACTGTTCCTTTTTACTTTTCATAACTCATATTCTCATTTATCATTTCTTTAAATTCCTAGGGAACCAGAGCAATCGAAGGAATATACCTTGACATGTCTATGATTGATGATGATCTACACTTGAAACCTACAGTTTTCAACGAGATGCATAGACTGAGATTGCTCAAGATATACATTGCAAATCATTCTGATGATCATAAATTCAAAATATATCTTACTGAAGGTCTGCAGTTTCTTCCTCCTTCCTTAAGATATCTTTGCTGGTATAGCTACCCATTAAAATCTTTGCCATCGAATTATGAGGGGGAATATCTCGTTGAACTTGACATGCCCTGTAGCGAGCTTAAGCAACTTTGGAGTGGTGTACAGGTATGCTATAATACTAATTAATAAGTTGAATATCATGTATTAAGTGTTTATGATTACCTATTATTATTTATTAAAAAAACCAATAACTTACTAAATTTGTAACGACCTGAGTTTTCGGACTACTACTTTGTAAGACCAAGAAAATTTCAAAAGTTGGAATTCAACTATTTTTACTAGTAGACCAACATAAAAAAGTGTAAATCATATATGATAAAAATCTACACAGACAAAATTGACTACCTGACAGTCACTTTAAATCAAACCTTTGGACTTAGCTTGACTTGGAATTTTATGGTATGATTTGCATTACTGAGAAAGTTAAGTCTACTTTATGTGTTTGTATCCAGTTTATAGATATCCTAGCTAAGAACTTCCTTTAATCATGATGTGGATTGAATTTAATCCTTGTGAATCAAATAACTTACATAACCTAAGTAATACTCGTGGAACTTTATGCATTCTTAATGTTATTTATCATTTTGACATTTGAAGTTTTACCATGCGTGATCTTTTAGGATCTATTGGAACATTTAGAATTCCTAATAAATCCTTGTAACTTAATATTACTAAGCAGGGATAAAAATCTTTAAAAAATTGATAATTTTAAAAATCTCATGTACAATTTAAATTCATGAACTAAAAACACGCCTATTCAGACATGCTTACATAATTGATCATCAAATAACATAATAATTTTCTTATTGCAAGTAAAGTATCATGACATGTACTAATGGGGAAATTCATAATCCAAATTATCATAAAATCACATTTTTATTCATGAATTTATTGGGGCTTACAAAATTAATTTATTTTTTCTTGTAGAATCTTAGAAATTTGAAGCGTATTAATCTTGGTTATTCCAAACAACTCATCAAACTTCCAGATCTATCTCGAGCTCCAAAGCTAGAAAGTATTAATCTTGAGGGTTGTATAAATTTAGTTGAAGTTCCTCCGCTTAATTTCCAAGGATGTTTTGGATCTCTTACACTACGTGGTTGCATTAAGATTAAATCACTCCCAAAGATATCGGGGAATATCAAATACTTGAATTTAGACGGGACTGGAATAAAAGAATTGCCCTTATCAATTGGGCGTTTAGAAAGTCTTGTGGAATTGAGCCTTCGTGATTGTCAACATATCAAGAATCTTCCAACAGCTTCTTTTCCGAGAAATATACAAGTTTTAAATTTGAGCGACTTGTCAATAAAACAAGTGCCCTTATCAATTGGGTTGTTAGAAAATCTTGTGGAATTGAGCCTCGAAGGTTGTCAACAAATCAAGAATCTTTCAGCAGCTCTTCGGAGAAATCTGAAAATATTGAATTTGCATTACTCATCAATAGAACAAGTGTCTTCGTCTTCAATTGAGGGTCTTGATTGTGTGAGGGAATTTCGTCTTGGAGGATGCAAAATGCTTGAGAGTCTCCCAACTAACATTTTTAAGTTGAAGTCTCTTCAAATCCTTAATCTTTGGGATTGTTCGAGATTGAAAAAATTCACAGGGATCCAAGTGTTAAGCAACGCAGTTATAATTGAAAAGTTTTTTGGGCTCCGTCGTCAAGATATGAGTTCGCGTAAAAAACTCGAGTTTGTCCCAAAATGGATTTATTATTTAAGTTGTCTAAAATTCTTGTCCCGCCACGGGTGTTTGGAACCTGAACATCTCCAAGTCAAGCAATTTTCATTGTTCTCTTTCGCCCGACTAGATCTAGGTAACTGCAGTATAGTAGAAATTCCAATTTGGCTGAGCCATTTATCCTCGTTAACCGTGTTAGGTCTAGGCGGGAACCCATTTGAGAATATACCATCAAGCATCATACAACTTCATCAGCTGGAAAGACTCTTAATTTGCGATTGCAAGAAGCTCCGATCTTTGCCACAACTTCCATCGTCTGTTAGTGATCTTGATGCAAGTGGATGTACTTCTCTGGAGACAATATCAAGTTCGGGTTGCTATGGATTAGACAATATGAAGGGCCTAATTTTCAAAACATTTTTGTTCCAAAATTGCCGGAAACTAGGACGGAATGCACGTAGCATTTTAACTGATTTCTTATACGGAGTTGATAAATTGAATTTGGTACGTATGCATTTTCTATCTCTCTTTCTTTTTTGAAGTAATTTTTGAAGACTGAAGTAATTAACATTAATACACTATTATTCATATATATTGGTGTCTGGTGATGTAGGGAGGAAGAGATCATTCAATTAAAGTATGTTATCTGGGAAATGAAGTTCCAAAGTGGTTCAGGCATCAAGACGAGGGGATTTCAACAACTATGAAGCTTCCCCATGGTTGGCATAATTCTAATTTTATGGGTTTTGCCTTTTGCATTGTTGCTCCAATATTCCCAGTCGGCACAGTCTCCTATTCTTCTAAGTACAATGGGTTTATAGAAATTACGTTTGACTTACATCTTAAAACCAAGTGCGGTCAAATCCACAAATATGACAACACTTGCGGGGGTGATTTCTGGATCTACCCCGATGATATTAGTTCAGACCATGTGTTCGTGCGATGCGTCACTAACAGCTTGTTCAACAGACATCTTGATGCAGTGGAGGCATCATTCCATTTCAAAGCTAGAGTTTTTACGCACAATGAGAATTGTGATTCGATTGTGAAAAGGAATGGAGTTGGGTTGGTATATGCATGCAAATGATTGCTTTTGTGATTGAGGAGGAGGAATCAGCTGCTATCAAGAACGACTCTGTTATTATCTATCTGGTACTTTTCTCTTAATTTTAATTTGAAAGATAATTATATATGCAATGCACCTAAAATGCGTCAATGAATATTTGAACGTATTCTTTTCATTAAATGCTGAAACTTTAAAACTATAACGTCTGAGTTATACATTGAAACTTTTAGTCAAAATCCTACTATATAAAATTTTCCCCTAAATTGAGAAAATTGTCTTTTCACTCCAAATTTGGAGTGTTAATTGTTAGTTTTATCGGTTTTGAAAATTAATTTCCTTTTTTCTTGAATACTCTTTAGCCAAACTTGTACGACTTCAAGTGTTAGAAGAATAGCTTCATGGATATGATGTTTGAATTCATTACTCAATATTTTGGGGATATGTTGTGTTTTTCTTCAGTCAATTGAAGATGTCTTTGTAATTCATTCTGGTTGTATGTGCTTTTTGCTTTTTTGTGTGACACAGAAAGGAAGGTGAAAAGACAAACTTGAATTCTGATGTTGGAGAGAATATTTTCAGCATTTTCAAAGATTGATAGGTAATTTAAATGTTATTACACCTCTTTCTCTCCTAGTCTTTATGTGTTGGCGCTTTTCAAGATTTTCTGGTAAACTCTAACTTAAATAGAGGAGTTGACTAATAAGCCTTTACTTAGGAAAGTGTTTATTAGGAGGCATAGGCCTTTGTAATTAGTTAAGTATTGATTTTGGTTACTGGTTTGATCGTGTGGTTATGTGAATAAATTGTAATAAGTTGTATAAGGGGTGGGATTGTAAACATAACAGTAAAGAGTTGTTTTGGGAAAAGTCTTGGAGAGAATCTAAGCAAGGGAGAGCGACCAGTTCCTCGAATTACTAGAAATTTAGAAAATTGTTGTACGCCCATCAGCAGAATGTTACATGCTAATAAACTGCGTGTTACATGCTTACACTAAGCATGCTGCACGCCTACTGCTAACGGGGAAATTAAAAAAAATGTGTTCTCTAATTTTCTACATCCACCCATTTATAGAGCACCTATGAGAGTCCTAGAAAAACTCTATCTTATCTCTTAAAATAAGGTCTCAGAAAATAAGAGATTAATTTAATTTTAAATCTTATTCAAAATCAAATAATATTTCCATTTATTTTTGGAACAATTTTCTCTCTCCTATGAGTAAGAGAATTCGGCCACTATAGGGATAAGCCTCCCGTGGTTGGCGCACCTAGCAGTCCTGGAGGAGATAAAATTCTTCATTTATTTTGTTGTTTAATTTTGACTCAAAATCAAATTTCCATTTAAAGTTAAACTTCAAACAAATTTGAATTCTAATTGAATAACTTGTCTAGTAAGTAAACTTGATAACTTGTAGTGCAAGCAACCGAATCCGAGAGAGATCTATATTCTTTGGTGTGTTCCTCATGTGGTCCTCACCACATGTGTATTCTAAAATTAAATAATCACATAATTTAATATGTTTTAGAGTGAGTGAGAAAGTTAGGAAAAATGTCCTGAAAGCATATAATGTTTTTATTCTAAAAAAAAAGCATATAATGTTTTTTGAATTATAGTTGGAAAACATTGAATTTTTTTGTTACGGGGCTCTTTTATTATGGGGCACTATTATTCGATAATTGAAACCAACCTGTGTAAAGCTAATTGAGGCCAGCTAAACCCTCAAACCTTATTACTGAAAGGCAAAATAAAATTCACTAGGAAAAGAAAAAAAATGGTTTAGTGACTGATGACTAAAACATAATAGTTTTTTATCCACTTATTAAATGCTAAATTTCAGCCTGTAATCAAGCGCACAATATACCAAATTCATAAAACCATTCATTAATAGACAAATGACACAACTACTCATGCTATAAATGCTTCTAGTTTTTCAACTTAGTGTACTCAATGGTTAGGAGTTATAAATATATATGCCTCTTGAACGCTGTCTTCATCTTCTCTATCTTCTTCAAAGATTCAGGTAATTTTTTTTTTCCAAGTGTCTGAGGTTAAGGATTGAGGAAACACTTATACTTTAAGTTTACCATAGTGTTTCTCTTCTAATGTGTTCTGCTCATTTTGATTTAATGAAATTAGTTTTTTTTCCAAAGTATTGCGACTAAAAACTTGGTAAAAAAAGAACAAATATACATGTGACGAGTAGAAGAAGAGAGACATAAGTGAAAAATAATTATTTGAATCTAGAAGAGTTCGTTAGTTTAAGTCAAAAGCTCTTGTTCTTAAAAAAAAGTAATGTGATAAATGAATATGTATGATATTTTTAATTTATTATTCACAAATAAAGATTAAAAATGTAAATAAAAAATTTCATTTCGCTTTTAATAAGTGTCAAAGACTTTGACTTGTTCTAGAAAATCTTATAAAGTTGAAAGAAAATTGAGTAAATCCATCCAAACATACGTAAAAGCAGCATTTGAAATTAATTAAGCAAAAAACAACCTAAAAAAAGCCATTCCAAAAAGGCTTAAAAAATGTTATATCATTTGTCTCTTTTTCCTTAAATTTCATATAATTGATCTTCAAAAAGAAAAAAAAAATGGAGTATGGAATGGTAAAAATATGAGACGAAGGTAATATTAATGCATGAGAGAAACGGAACAACATGAGAGAAAAGTAATTTGCAAGTTATAAAAAAAAGAGTTAAGGGATAATTCGAGATAAAGACGTACTTTAAACACATTTGTCATTGGAGCAGTGAAAAGTTTGTAAAGAATATAAGTACATTTGGCAAGGATAGCACAATTTCTATGTTATAACCTCAAAAGTTTAAGATATTAAGTAGAATTAATTATTTAATTAATTGAGATTGTCCCTCTAATTTTTTATATCGTCGTTTTCTTTTAAAAGAATCAAAGGTAATGGCCCATCTACTCGATATGCGATCATGTTACAACGATAATAAGTTGTCAGAGGAGATGCGAAGAAAAATATCCAGCATCAAGAGTCACTGGAGATTGCAAGAAAGAAACCTAAACCATTCATTAATAGAATTTTGATTCCCAAACTTTATTTATAGTAGTTATCAATTATTACTTGTAACAACTGTTTATATTCTACCTGCAACATAATTTATCACTATATTTTGGTTAAAATAAAATTATGTTCTAATTTTTGTTTCAAAATAGGTGGAGAACTGCCAATTCAAATTCCCTGTCCATTTTATCTGTCAATTTCTCTGTCTAACCAATTATTTACTAACACATCATCCCCTTCATAAATGGCACAACAGAACAACAAAATTGTGTTCTAATTTTTATTTCAAAATAATTGGAGAACTGCGAGGTCAAATCCCCTGTCCAATTTATCTGTCAATTTCTCTGTCTAACAAATTATTTACTGATACATCATCCCCTCAATAAATGGCATAAACGGAACAAAATAAATTAATAAATTCAATAGACTGGGGATTTGGGTTTGAGAACTAAAAATGAATTGCTGCTATGTATTTCTTTTTTCTTCTCTTTTTTAACTATTGCTATATATTACAAAAATGGCAGTAGATAATGGGTGCCTGTTCATATGTTCCTAGAATAATGGTATGTTAAATTTTAAGAATTTTTTTTAATTATAATAAAAAGCATACAATCTTTGCCCACATATAGTGTTTAACATACTACATATTATTGAATATTATGACTCCCAAACATAATATTGAGATTCCTATGTTGGCAATTTGTCCCATTATCTTAGATACTAATACTTTTGTGAAAGACTATAAGATTTATATGTCATTTTTTCCTTCTATTAAGAAAAAGGATGGAGAGAAATTTAATAATAAGAATCGATGTTTATGATATTGTGAGAAATAAAGTCTTGTATTTTTATTAATAAAAAGAATATTATTTTTGTTCTCTATAAAATTGTTTAGTTAAGAGATTGTTTTGAGTACAATAAAAATGTGAAATCGTGTTTATAATTATTAATTAATACTTTATAACATTGTTGATAAGTATTAGAAAATGAAAATAAAAAAGGAAAAATAACTTTAAATCGTTTTCTAATTCCTTCAAAAAAACCATTCTCAATGTTTTTTATTTTTATTTTCATTTTCAAAATATTTTCTAAACAAACACGATTTGCAGACCGTTAAAGAGGACTCAAAAAAAAAAAAGAACTAAGAGAGAGAAGATTGATGGCCCGTTCATTTTACCGATTCAAGTTTAGAATTTGAGTTTTGCTACAGTAAAAGGCTCTCAGAAACAGTCACATCTAATTTTTTTACTACAGTAAAAAGTTCTCACATAAAGTCACATTTCAACTCGAATTAAAAACTCGAATTATCGAACTAAATGAGCCATGAGTGTTAGAAAATCACATATCTAATAAGTTAGAAATTCAATTGAATATAAATTTGTATTTAATAAATTAGATAATATTCTAATTAATTAAAAAAAGCAAATGGGTCAACATTATATATATACATAATTATTTACTCAACAAGGACAAAATATAAATCTCATTATCTTATTTTGGGGTGCGCAAGAAATCATAAACTTCCATATGTATCTTATCGTCAAAAAGGAAGATGAAAAGAGTGAAAGGAGGGCTATAATTTGACACGTCATTCAAAAGCAAAAGCGTCTAACAGACCTCTACAAACGAACGTTAAAGGCAAGAAGGAAGTAAATTCCTTCAACCAGCAACATAATAAAATAAAATAAAACAAAAACTAATACATTTATGGATGAAGCCGATTTTTAGCCTAAGTACCAACGACACCAATAACACCAATAACACAACATATTAGTTTTTCTCGAGTTTCAATAGTTCAACCTTATTCTATAAAAAAAAAAAAAAAGGTTAACCTCCTCTCTTTTGGTTTTAAAAATCGTCAACCATGTTAAACTAGAAAAATATCTAATAAGAAAAAAAAAAGAAAAAATATTAGCCTAGATTATATTTTTTTTCTTTTACTTTAGATTGGTTTTGCCGTTTCGGGTTTTTCTGCATCTACTTGCCCGTGCCAGAGAAGCCGAACGCTGCAACTTCATCAAAGGTTGCAAAGAGTTCTCCATTATTCTTCTCAACATCCAAATATTTTGATGAAGTAGATCCTTTGATAATGGTTTGCAGATCTGGTTTTTAGTCAGTACCAGGGATGAAATTATTGATATTTATAGAAATATCGGTACTTAAATTTTATGAAAATATTGACAGAAATATCGATATCGGTAGAAATTGACGTAAAAACCAGAAATTCATACTAAAACACTCTATTTTCTAGTGAGATTTTAAAATTTTAAAATAGATAATAATATATTAATTAGATGAAACTCACAATTAAAACGCCAATTATTTGATAAATATGCAATATAAAGTGTGATCATAATATCATAAATAATAAGCACACATTGACAAATTAAGTAAAATAGCTGAAAGTCAACATAATACATATACCATACATATATGGTTTCATACGTGATGATAAATTATCAATACCAAAAGGAGCTTTTAGGAGGTTGGAAGGTATTCTGAACACATTCTTAGTTTAAATAGTATTGATATCAAGATATGGAGTTTGAATAGTTTCTTATATAATTTTAAATATGCCATATTTTTTAGTTTTTTTTTTAAAGTAAAATAAAAAATTTATATAAAGATGCTGAAATTTCTGTAGAAATTTACCGATATTTCCATTAAATTTTCACGATATTCGGTCATTTAACTTACGTTTTACTCATAAATTAAAATTTCCACGAAAATATCAGTGTGTACAGAAATATCCGTAGAAATTTTAAGATATTCTACGGAAAAAATACTACACCCTTATTTCTATATCAGTGCTTCTAAAATATGAAAATTTCTATAAAAATATCGGTAAAAATATCAATATTAGAGAAAATGGATTCGCCACCACCGTAGATGGCTCTCTTTCTGTTTTCAGATCTAGTCTGTGAAGAAAGGGGAGGAATAGAGAGAGAAGGACTGGTTCTGTGATAGAGATTTGTTAATGGAATTGAAAAAACGGAGTGTTATGTATCTGTTAGTTTTTAATGATGATCTGTCGAAATGTAAGTGAAGGGACAGAGAGGGAGATAGAAAAAGGGGACAGATGATCTGTGTCTATTAAAATCACTTTCCCAGAATACCAATTACTGCTGCTGTCCAAAAGGGCATACATACGATAGATACAAGATAACACTAACTAAATACACAAATAAAAAGAAGAAAAATATTTTTTTGATACGATGTAAAAAATGACACATATTGTTAAAATATAAAATTCTTCTTAAATTAATAAATAGGTATTTATCAATAAATTAATAAATTATTTATTTATCAATAAATTGATAATCTCGTTAAAATAATTTTTTTTTAGCTCTGATAATATTTTCTTATAGATAAGAAGCTCTAATAGTATAATAAACAATTGAATAAGAAAATACGAGAAAAAAGAGAGGACAGACAAATTTTAACGCGGCTTGAAATTATCAGCAACTTGGTATTTGGGCTTATCCATGACATGAAAAAAAAAAAAAACATTACTATGGTTCATTGAAAGACTTGAAAAATGAAGAAAGGAGCATAAATCACGATCAAAATGTAATAATAAAAATAATATTGTCCGGCATTTGGCCTATCAATCACAATCAAGAGTATATGTTGTCTCCATTAGACTTTAAATTTCTATTATCCTTCCAATTTCACATTTTCTAGATATCAGTTTTTACTTGTATGTATCGTAATTCATAGTTGATTGCGCAAGTATGCGATTGATATTAAACCTAGTTCGTTTTGCTCATTTGAGTTAAAAATTTAAGTTAAAAAGTGAATTGTATGAGATAAAATATTGTAACAGAAATGATTAAATTTGAATTATTGTGAGAAAAACATTATAATAAAAATTTGAGTCCTGATTAATTTGATTAATTTGGATGCATGGCATGGGCTTGTAAACTAAAACATAATTAAAACTTAAAAAAAAAATGCAGTTGTTTCTAAGACATTGGAAAAAATATGCAAAAATAAAATGCATTTACTGGACTTATACAGAAAGGACACCATCTTTACAGCATAGGAAGAAAAGAAACTGACAATGCCACTTTATATAATCAATGTCTCTTATGATAAATTCATTGACAAAGTACATACCCAACGCTGTTTTTTCAAGTCGCCATTTTTAATTTCTTCGTCGTTTCCTGCAGGGAATCAAACTGTATACGTTAAAATTAAAATTAATATGCATGGCTCTCAGTATGATGAATGTGGGATTTTTTTTTTTTTTTTTTTTTTTTGTCTTTCTGCTTTTAACTTCACAAGTATTTTTCAAATACTGGGGTTGTTGATTGACAAAATTTTTGAGTTATTGGCAAAAATACAATGACAGAGTCAGGATTTCGATTCAAAAGGGCATAAGCTAAAAACGTAAAATGTCTTATCAACTCTTAATAATATTACATAGTTAGAAGGTATAAATATTCAGTTTGTTAAATCTTTTTCTACGTAATAGTATAATTTTAATAAAAGTTCAAGTTCAATTTTAACCTAATTTATTATTCTCTTATGCATATAGTTTAGTGAAAAAAAAAAATAAAGGAGAACACTCACTGAAAATTACATTGATTTGAAAATTTTGAAAATAAATTATTTAGTGGTACGTAAGAAAAAATAATATTTGAAAGGGATGTAAGAAAAAAGTTTAAGTAGAGACATATTAAAAATTATTTCGGTCCGGCAATTTGAAAAACAAAAAGTACATAATATGCCACAATTCTAAAGATATTGTGTTCAAAAACTAAAAAAACGTATGAACAAAAATATTTAAGTAGGGATACATTAAAAAAAAAAAAAAAGGTTTACTTCAACATGGACAAAGAAAGAAAAAAAAAATAGTAAAGACATATTTTTTTAAAAAACATTAATAGGAATAAATTGGAGAAAAATTTTGTTCATGAGGAGGTATGTATAAGATCTTACTAATGAGGAGGCATATACAAAAAAATTCTTGAAAAACTAAATGCAATAAAACAATTTTTCAAAAATCCAGAGGCCATATAAGAAAAATTTTGAAAAACTACATGCTATAAAACAAGTTTTCAAAAATTTAGGGGGGCATGTATTAAAAATTTAAAAAGACCATATGTAAAAACATAAATTTTCAAAAATCCAGGGAGGCATATGCCCCTCTGGTGCATGCTTCCTCGTCACTGCAAAAATAGACCCCTAACTTTGAGTATAATGGCATATTGACTTACTGAACTTTTAATTTTGACATATTAATCCTTCAATTTTTAATTTTTGATAGCTTAATCCTGACACTAAAATTGATGACGATTAATGAAATTTTAACAAAGAAAATCACATCTCCATCACATAATAACTGAAAATTTTACGTAATGTACAAATAAAATAACTCTTTTTATAAAATTTTAAGTTATCACATAACAGACACGTGATTATCGTTATAAAATTTTAGAAATCATTTGTCAATTTTAATGACAGGGACTAAAATTGTCAAAAAAAAAATGTAATTAAGTTTAGGAACTAATTAATCTGCTAATTAAATGTAAATAATCAAAATGTACTAAAAATTGAGAGACCATTTGTGTCAATTATCTAAAAATTTACCTTCCATCCATATTGTAGAATTTCTAGAAAACCGAAATATTTTTTAAGCAAAGGAAAATTCTTTATAGTGAAGTTCTGTAAATCTATACTGAAAAAAGTATTGACTCGATGAGGTCGTAGGACTTTCCAAGCAGCCTTGGACATTGTCTGTCGTTTTCTTCGTGGTAAGCTATTCCACATCGATTCTAAATAGCTTCATATACAAATTTTGTAAATGATGTGATGTATTTTACTTTGGGCTTTATGAGAGTAAATTCGGTAAATTCTGGCTTTATCAAATTTGGTTATGGCATAATTAATTCGGTAAATTTTAACTTTGATAATTGAGTCTCCAAATCCCCATATGCTTGTTGTTTTTCGCATTGATTATCATTCTTTTTTCAAATTATATGTCTGTTTGTCATTGTTTTTAGAGACAATCTTAAAAAAAACTTTTTAAATTCTATTTTACATGTAATATATACTTTGTATATTATATAAACATTTGTTCAGAATCTTGATGTTTTAAAAAACGCCATTAACAATATACTGAGTTACGTTTAAAAAAAATTGTGAATTAAAAAATTGTTATTTTTAATTATTTTTTTTTTTCAAAAGAGTTTCAATTAATTAATAAGAAGACCAAGATTAAAAATTGTCTTATTGTTTTGTTTTATTTGTTATCACATTAAATGAAAATTAAAATATTTTTTAAGAAATGTAAATTTAAAAGTGATGGGTATATAGTAATTTTGCTTTTAACTATTTAAAAACAATCAATATGTGTGACAAGTATCATTGTTGTAAGAAACCCTAACGAAAGGGATTTTTTTGTTAACTTTTCGTACTTCAAGAGAAACGGATGTTCTATTTTCAAGATCAACCAGCAAAGTGTTATAAGAGCACAGTTTAAGGGGAACCTTTGTGAATAATCCTATCATTGTTGTTTCATAAGTTGTGCAAATTGAAATGTAACATTGGTCATGCATTCATCACTAGAAATTAACTTCCTTCCCCAAAAAACTCTACAATTTGATATTACTCCTCTTGACCAAAATAGATGAAGATCATGTTTCTCAGCCTTTCTATGATACAAGGTGGAAGATTAATAGCTTCCTTAACTACTGAATAAATACCTACCCCAGTTTGTTATGCCAAGATCGAATTCCTCTTATGATGGCTTCTTTCTTGAAGTAGACTTGTTCGACTTGGAAGACGGGCTCGCGGTCTCCTTGAATGCAGAAGGACAGAGTTCGCTTACAGTACAAGCTCCACATCGGGGTCGTAGAGGAGTACACACTGTTTGACCAAATCCAACCTATTTGTATAGCATCAACCAAAACAAAATTTAAGAAATGGAAGCAAAATCAAATGTTTTGAGTAAAATTCGAAGAAGCAATAAGCGTTTAAAATCAATGAATGCTTGTACAGATACGGAACAAATTCATATCGGCATAATGCGTGTGTGTATGTAAAAAGTGCCAAGCATATGAATGGCGCAAGTATTTCTTGGTGCAGAACTAATAGCCAACACAAACCAAAAGAGGGTTTATCGGAACCCATTCTTCCTTTGGTAGCCACTTTTGTAATGCCTCTCTTGTTTCCTCGGGAGTAGAAGTTTTCTAAAAAATAAGACACAGAGGAAAAAGAAAAAGATTAGCCCTCATTGCAACTCTTAATTATGGCACATTACTTAACTGCATAGCTCTCATTAATGTAATCACGAGCAAGTTTTTGGTTGATTCTTCAACCAGATTGAGCATTGAAGCAAACTAATGTGCTACGATTACAGAAGTAAACTTTGAAAAGTAGTGCATCATAAAGGAAAATGATGACCTCTTTTACCACTAAATCTTATTTGTAGTTGTCATTAGGCGTTCTATTTCACATGTCATTCAGGTCTAAGGACGGGATAACTATTGTTCCATCCACATTTTGCTGTGTTTTGCAAAACAAATCAGGAATGTTTTAATGCTCTAAAGTGGAACTGAAATACACCATTGAAACCGTACTTCGACAATACGATACCACCTAACTTTTTCTTAGTTAGCTCAAACTAAATGAAAAGCCACAAACCTGTCCAATCATGGAACACACGATGTACGGTTGTCAGATATGACTAATCCCAATATTTAAATCTTTTCCCTCTTTTTTGGATAAGAAAAAAGCAATTTTACTGAAACGAGAAGACATTCTATCACACAATATAGTGTTACTTTAAACTAACGATTAGAAACGAAAAATAATATTAGTCAAATTTGGCACTAAGTACAACATATCTCAAATTTAACACCCATAGCAGCATCGCATTAGGGAATGATTTTCCCAACTAATTTCGCACTGGCACATAAAATTGACACTGTGTTAGAGGTGCTCTAAAGATGAGATAAGAAAAATGATATAAGTCACACAATCAAATTCAAAGAATCCACAGTTATAGAAAAACCAGGTTGCACGCATCAAAAATAATCCCATTTTAGTAATGAAGACAGTAAAGTTGAGAAAAGCAAAATGATATTAACGATGGACGTCACATTCAAAGAACACCCCGACAATAAAATAAAAGAAATAGGTTGCATGCATTAAATATAATTCCGAACGTTACAATAATCCATCTTTGCCTACAAATAATTTTCATACTTTCTCATCACTTAACCTCTTTTCTCTGAAATTCTCATCCTTTAACTTAATTCTGAAAAAAGATACCTGTTTTGTGCCAGGCCGTGACACCCATCCTAGTCGATTGCAAATGCGGTGCACATGAGTATCAACACATATGCCTTGAACATCATTCCAGCCAACATTCATAACCTAAAGTGCAATAAAACATACATTTTAGTATCACAGTCACATGCTGATTTTCAGAAGTGCACAATACTACTTTGCGTCTTACCAAATGCGCCATCTTAGGACCAATCCCTGGAAGTAAAAGCAGCTCCTTTAATGAGCGGGGAATATCTCCATTGTAATTCATGAGACAAATATTTGCAATTTTCTTCAAGTTATTTGCTTTTCTAGTATAAAATCCTACCTAAAAAAGATAGCAATAATCATAATGCAGAGTTTCATATGCGACATAGTAACAAACAAGGTGCAAAATTATGTTTGGCATAAGAGCGATATTGCAACCAGAATATTTTTGAACCTAACAAAGTCAATGAGGGGCCGTTTGGTATATAGGTTCAAACCATGGTTCAAACTATTGTTCTTGATTATGACTTTTGAAATTCAAATTTTTTATAAGAGAAAAACACTGTAGCAGAACTAAAACCATGAGATGCACTGTAGCAGAACCCATTACCAAACATCACATGAATAAGATATACCGGGTAAATCAAGCTTTTTATAGTTGCTTCATCGGCTTTGTCAATGGCATCAGCAGTGAGCAGATCATTTTGAAGAAGGCGCTGAATTGCTCCTGAATTTAAAGGAATTTTGTAAGCACGTCATTTGAACTTTGAATGGCATAAAGGTAAGCAACTGAACTGAATAAAACATAGTGCATAAAAATGTGGAACACGCAGATTTCAGGACTGATGACATGAAGTTCTGCATGATCTCCTACATTTTTATGAGGGTCAACACCACTTAGAAGCATGATAATCACATGAAGTTATAGTCTGTTCAATCTTCCCACCGACAATTTAATATTCATCTAGCCCAAACTTCTCGTGATTTTTGAAAAAACAAAATAAAATAAAAAACTAAAACGCCCCACAATAAGAGTCGTGACTGTCATAAAATAATAGACAACGATGCATGTATGTGAATACTCTAGTAATCTCTAGCTAGTCTTTTTGCTGAGTGAGTTTCCATATTCATTAGAACAAAATTGCAATTTCCTAACTGAATTCTTGATCTTCAAATGTTATTGTTAGAAGAAATCACGTATCAAAGAAAAATTTTATATACACATTAAGAAAGAAAAGTGAGAACTTGCCATGATTAACATGATCCTTTGTTTGGCTTGATAAGAGAGAAGAAACCAAGACGGCAAATCTTCGTTCCTGATTAGTATATCAGAATCAGGAATAATTAATACATCCATATCATGTTCCCAACATGCAATAGAAGTTTATCAAAATAGCAAAGCATTGATGATTCTGAATGCAACAGAGTATATATAAAATTTTTAATTAAGAAAAAAAAAGGTTATAATTTACCTCTGTCAACATTATGAAGATATACAAAGGTAAAAGTGTATTCTCCCCGCCTTCATATTTCTCCAAAAGGGAAAGAAAATAAATACAAAAATAAACCATTCAATCAAGATACCAGAATGAGCATTTTAGCACACGCGCAACATTAAACTAAGACTAATGTCTGATACTAAAACCCATAAAACAAATATGGTTGCAGAAAATATCTGAACCAGATAAGCGAAGTGTCCCTGGAAGAAAATGATTCACAAGGAAAGCAGTATCCTTCAGAAGCACAAGTGCCAATACATTTTCCCCAAACTTCTAATGCAGGGACTACTCTAGATAAGAATTGATCAAGAATTGAGGTACAGGAATACCGAAATCCCAAGTAGGCATTCCATGCTATACCTAGTCTATAAATTTAGAAAAAATTGTACCTTAGGAGGAAGAAGAATTCCAGCCTTTTCACATCCCATAGTATCTACTGGTGCATCTTCAGAAGACCTCATTTTGCGAATGCCTTCAAGGACTTTCTCCCAGTTAGCAGGTGGTTCATCTGTGTCAAATAAACTCTGTTCTAAATCCTCCTTGAACTAATACTACAGACTTGCAAAGAAGTATGAAAATATCTAGAAAAGAACCAGCGGTTACTTCTCCCAAACATGGGTTATTATATCGAACAGGAACATAAAAGAGAGAATAAATAAATTTAAAATAAAACACAAGTAACGTTATTTTCTAGCTATGGTTATGTAAGATCCATATATTTCTACACACAAAAGAAAGAAAAAAAGAAAATTCAGAAGTTTAAAACCCTCCTAAGTTATCTACATTTTCAACTAACTTGACGTAACAATTTTTCAAGTAATGAACTAAAGAACAATCAGTAAATGTTCCCAGCAATAGAAATATGAACAAATCAATATTGCAGATGATCGATGGTCTTCTATACTAGGTACAGAGCAATGTTTTGCTTTTAATTATTGAAAGCACAGTATTTGGGAACAATGCAATATATTCAGCCCATTTGTCTCACGGGTTTGAACCACGGTTCAAACTCTTTTATTACAGTGTTTTCTCTTACAAACAATTTAAATAGAGCCTATGAACCAAACAGGCAAATTGTTTAAAGACCATCAATCTAAATGCAACAAACTGATGAGCACAAATGTGGATCCAATAGCACCCTTCATAAAAATAAATCAGCTCTTGGATAGACTAATCCTTTTGAGGTGTTATTATTACATAGGAGAAGGCCCAATGCTGCATTGTCCCCTATTTTAAGTGTAAAATGCATGAGACTGGATCCAGTAGTATGTGTACGTACTTGTCAATGTGTGTGTGCGAGACTGCAAGCGCAGTACAACTTAAGCTAACTAATAATTCCTCTGTCAATCCCATCCATAAGTAGCAATAGTATTTGCTCAAAAATACAGTTTGTAGTTATAAGATGCGTTAGCATTTACCTCTTGGCCTAACTAGAGGAGAAACTTCAGCTTCCACCACAAAAACATCAGAAACATCTTGCGACTTCTCTGCAGAACCAAGTACAATGAGAATGATTACAGAGAAGATCCATTCTATATAAACTTTTGGGATGGTGCTTGCAGATTGATAAGTACCCAGGCAAAATTTGGAAAGAAAATGAATCAAACTCAAATTGAACAGAGGAACGCGATAGAGCTGGATTGTATTTAGACTGAAATTGGTAAACAAGTACAGATAGACAGTAGATATTCGAGAGATCTGCTTCTCTCCCTAGAGCAAAGCTCAAAACTACAATCAAAATCCAGCTACCTTTCCAGAATCCCATTTTCCCCCTTTTATTCGATCTCCCAAATCAGTAACAAACTCTCAGCAGCCCCTATATGGTGAATGCATGGACATGTGAGTGTGTGCACACACATCATACTCACTGAACACCTATATGTAAGCCAATATGGAGAGGAAAGGGATTAAAGAGAACCATAAAGATAAAAATAAGACACGTCCAGCTATGGCTAGACAAGCAACTTTAAGTGAGGGTCTCTTCTTGAATTTTTGTTTCCAAGGGCTTCAAAGACATTTCCTTTCTTCAATTGTTGAGTTAAAAGTCCTATTAACATAGTTTGTTTTCCTTTTTTCTTTTGGTAGTTTTCTTTCATTTTTGTAACAACTTCTTGTATTGTTGCTCTTCTTCAATAAAATTCTTGTTTCCAATTCAAAAGGCAAAGGTGGGAAAAAGGTTTTCTGAAAGTTATTCTTTCAGTTTAGGCCGAATATGGTGAATGCCCAAGTTGGGCAATTATCCATGGCGGGGAAAACCAAGCAGTAACTAGAACAGCACATAATAAATTAAGCCATTAATCCTGATGTAAGGCCAACAAAATATTTTATGAATTCATCCAAACTTTTATCCTGCTGTAATTTGGTGTTTGTTGGTTTTTTCGGTTTTCTTGTTCTGTCTTGTACTTCTAGTTCGTTTTTTTCTCATCGATGGATAACTCATCCGTCTTCTTTTTGTATCTGTTTCTGTTTGTTTAATAAATTCCCGTTTCTTATCAAAAAACACGCGATGGTCAGGACTCAGGAGCAGATGCGAACGAGGAAACACACGAAAAACAGAAGCAAGGTTTAGCTTGCTTTCTTGTATGCAAAAGTACTAACTTGAAGAGGCAGATCCACTTGCTTTCTTGTATGCAAATTCTTCGATGTCGGGAAGGACAGACGACTGTGTACAAGAAGCTGATTGCGATATAATTAACGATGAACATGCAAAGTCTTAACAGAAGCAAGGTTTAGCTTCAAGGTAAATGTAAGTAAACAATAAATTTTTTATGAGTATTTAATAGTACATGAAGATCCTATGAAATTGATACCACAAATAAGGACTTAAATTTTAGAGGCAATGAACTCAATCAAGAAAGATAACTCTTGAAAAATTAAAAGCTTTCTTAAAATAATACAAAGGAAATGCATAAACAAGACAAGGTACCAGCATAAACTAAAATAAAAACGCAAACTGAAATGAGATTTCTCATATTAATAAATAACAAAAAAAAAAAAAGAAAGGAAAATAATGAAGTCGTGTATAAATCACATATAAGTTATAACCCATCACTATTTTTGGCAAGGGACATTAAAATATTAAAAAATAAAAACGAATCACACAAATTTTCACTCTTAAAACTTATATTTTGATTTGTCGCCTCACCTTCTCAAGAGGCTTTGCTTGGATAGTCTCTTTGAGTCTCTTTTTTCTCGAGAAAACGCGAAGTTCTGGCACTGAAACGCCATTGGAGGACTCGGACCCTGCAATATTACAGACATTAACACAATTTTTAGTCCCCTTTTCCTTTGTGGGTTTTGGTACCAAGAAATGAAAGAGTGGAAGCTTCAGTTCTGTACTAATAAGACAACCTGGGTTTTGGTCTGTTATGGAAGAGAAGCTTGTTTTCGACATTCTTCTTCTTGTTGTTGATGTTGTTGTTCTGGTAATAATGCTTCCCACTTGAGTTGCCAAGTTCCTTGGGGGAAGAGCCAAGGACATTCTTTTGCAACCCTCTTTTGTCTCTTCGTTGATCCAAGTAAATATTACAGGTACTACTTACTCCTGGGCGGATTGGCGGGGGAGAAATCATTTTACATCGATACCCTCGTACATTTTTTTATAGGTATATAAGATTTAATTATAATTGGGAGTAGAGGCATCAAAGCTTGCCCAACCTAGTAAAGGGGCTTGGAGATAGAGGGTTTTCTGGGACAGTTTCCAGGTTGGATTTTTTAAATCAAATAGGACTAGTTGACGGGTTCAGTTGCTTAGATTTTCTTTCTTTTTAGCCTTTCTGCTCGCCTGCTACTGTAACTGAAGTCGGAACTCTTTTTTAAGCTCTTTTTAGTTAGCTTCAGAGTAAAGTCCCGCTTTGTATAGAAAGATAGAAGTCCCGTTACAGTGTTGGAACTTCGGATTGGCGGACTGATCGAAGCCTGAATTTTTTTGGATTCGGGCGGGCAGACCCATATGCCGGCCCGTTCAAGGTGAAAATTTGGGCTTGGGCTCGGGCAGCCCAAATTTTGAACCACGCCGGAGCCCGCCGCCGTGTAGGTGCCGTCGACCGCCGTCCGCCGTAGTTTTTTTAAATTTTTCCGGCCATACCCGACTGCCCGACCCGCCCGAAGCCCGAATTGCCCGAAAAAACGTTCAAAAATCCGACTGTCGTGCCCGACCCAAAATAAGCCAAAAAACCCGAATTTTGCCCGAAGCCCGAGGTGCCCGAAATGCCCGAAAACCGTCCAACGGCTTGGCCGTTGCCGCCCGAACCTGACTGCTGAAAATCAATTTTGCCCGTTGCACATTGATTTTTTTGAAAAAAAATTCAATTTTTTAACCCAAAAATTTCTCTATAAATACCTCTCATCCCCACACATTTTTCTCACTCAAACTCTCTCAATCCCTCAAATCTCTATCACAATTTTTCTAAAAACTATCACATTATTCTAAAGCTCTCTCTCTCTCAAATCGCTATTTTTTTTTTATAATTGATCCTTTTGGTTATAGTGGTATTCCCGTTGATGCCCAACACAACGTGGAAGAAGGGCAATTTCCCACTAATGGATTTGTTATGCAAGAATCTACTAATCCGAACTTTGGTGGACGTACTGGAGGTCGTGGTCACAATGGTGGTGGGCGTGGAGAAACGGCGAGTGCTAGTGCGACTGCGTCTGCAAGTGTTGCAACCTCTAGGAGGAAATGCAAGCACACCTCGACAGTTTGGGATCACTTCGACATAATTGAGGAGATCAACAATGAAGGTAACACTAAACATATAGCTCAGTGTAAATATTGTTTATCTAAATTACAAGGTGATACTATTCACGGCACCACACACTTGAGAAGACACTCCGAAAAGTGTCTTCAAAAGCTTAGCCAATCCGGCGGACCCGAACTCCGCCAAATACAATTATCTTTTGATCGTGCAACCGGTGGTCTAACCACTTAGAAATACGATCCGCAAGTAGATCGTATGGAAGTTGCACGAATGATAGCTGCTTTAGATCAACTACTTAGTTTTGTAGAGCATCCTAATTGGCAACGATATATTAAGGTTGTACATAATCCTAATGCACAGTTTACTTCAAAAACTACTCTTAAAAAGATTTATTAAAATTATTTAAAAAAGAAAAAGAAGCATTAATAAGCCTTTTACACTCGACTAGCGGGTGCATTGCGTTAACGGCAGATATTTGGTCTGCCGTTGCCAACAAAGATTATTTAGTTGTAACTGGACATTACTTTAAAGGATTTGATTTAGATAAGAGAATATTAGGTTTTAAATGTGTTCTAGAATCACATAGTGCGAATTTAATATATAATATCATTTTAAATGTAATTGATGAATTTAGATTAAGAGATAAAGTAATGGCTATAACATTAGATAATGCTAGTGCCAATACAAAAGCAATTGAGTTCTTTGAAAATGATTTAAGTTTATTCGGTGACGGTACTATTTTCCACCAACGTTGTGCATGTCATGTAATTAATTTAATTGTTAAATCCTGTTTAAAAGAAATGGGTAATCACATTAAAAGAATTAGAGATAGTCTTGCATGGATTCAAGGTAGTAACCAAAGACAAGAAGATTGGTTTAGGTTCTCACAAGCATTAAATATACCTCCTAGAGCATTAGCGTTAGATATGTCTATAAGATGAAACTCAACTTATAATACTTCAACAATGCATCCCCTATAAGGATGCTATAACAAATTATATGTGTGCAAAAGTAAGAGTATGACATATAGACACATATGATTAGAAAATTGCCAAAGTTTTGTATCAATTTTTAGGTAGGTTTCATGAAGTGACTCTAAAACTTAGTGGAACATATTACCTAACATCACCTTTAGCTTTAGGAGAACTTTTACGAATTAGTATTTTATTTAGCGAATATAGGGATGACCCAATCTTAGCAGTTCCTATCCATTCTATGGAAAAGAAATTTATAAAATATTGGTTTAAGTTGCCTTTGTTGTATGGTTTAGGTACTATTTTTTATCCTAGATTAAAATTAGAAGGTTTAGAAAGTGGTTTAGAAAACTTAGGTGAATTTTTAGGCATCAATTGTAAGGACCAATATCCAATAATAAAGGAAAAAAATATATTCGATCTATAGTAAATATGAGATTAGGTTTAGAGTACCTCATAGAGTACAGGAACCGCAACAACAAGACGAAAACCCACATTCATTCTTAAATGTTTTCGGGTTGAAGAAGAAGAAGAAGACAACT